TGCGCACAGTTACTTTACCTTTTTAATCAATGTTTCTCGCCGACGATATTTACTTTGAGCACGTTTTGTCGAATCCTGCTTATACTCAATAGACACTTTTCCGGTATGATGTTGACGATTCGGCGCCGTTTTCTTTTTAAATAAACTGCGTATAAAGTATGAAAGTTTAAAGTATTGAATATCGGTGTGTGTGAAATGTATAAGTTATATACGCTTAATGTCTCTTTTTCTATACTTAAACGAGGCCCCGACAGTCAGCGTCTTGTTTTTCATTTTTTAAAAACAGAAGCCAACCTTTGTATTAACGGTTGGAGCCAATATTTTCATCTCATCTTATTGTCGAATAACGAGCTTCAAAATGTATACATCGTTTTACTTCGTCGCAGAGAAATTTACTTTTATAATAATTTTGACATGTCTGCCGAAAATCCAGCAAGACACGTTTTCATAAAATCTTTATTTTTGGTTCAAATACACATAATTATTTCAAAAAGATGGCGAAAACTCTGTAAGTAACACCAGTAAGTATATACGTTTCTATGGGCATATAATCTAAATTACCATTCCGAAATTTTCATTGAATTTTTTATGTTCATTTTGAAATTTTGGTCATAGTGGGAGATACAACATACTTTTCGACACACAAGTTTTCTAAATGTTTCAGATCAAATAGAGAAGAAACATAGTCGTCTTAGCAGGAACCTTAGCAGTCAAAAACTATACTTTTATCATATTGTTCTGAGATAACCATGCACTCACAGGCGATACATCGAAAGACATCGACGTGAATCTGCGCATCGATACGACCGGGTACAGCTGAGGGTCTACCAATGATCTCGATCATACGGCGGACCTGTGTAATTCTTTCTTATTTTTACATGGTCACAAAATTCTACTTGATTTCATATCTTCTGCGTCTGCTAGTGATTGCATCCGAACACGTTTAATTGGCGTATAGGCTTGAAAACCATCACATTTGATACTTTGATTAAACAATAAAAATGCTGTAAGCGGCTTGTCCAGTTAACGGTATCCTTTTTTCGCTCTTTTTCAAAAGATTATTGCAATAAAGCTACAAACTAATCTAAAATTGCAACTACATAGTTAAGTACATTAAACATTTCTCCACAAAATGAAAAGTGTCTCCGCTGTGAACGTTGATTCGTTATGAAATACAGCTGTTATACAAACAGCCCAAAAGACCGCTTTTGGAACTATCTAAAAAGCGTGTCTCAAAGAGTAAAGACGAGCTGACAAAAATTGAACAAGTATACCACATTGCAGAAAATTGTTTGCGCTACAAGCTGTGATAACTTGTCAAGTTTGAAACTTTTCTAATTACAAAAGTGTCACGGTGTCACAATTTTCTTTGATTAATTCAGATTAATTAGAAAAGTTTCGAACTTCCTGCCCAACTTGGCAAGAAGTGAATATGAAGTCGAAAAAGTAGCTCGGCTAATACAGATTCTGCGGTGCTCGAACGGAAATCTTAAAGACCCAGGATTCCGCATCCTCAGGGTCCATGGTCATTGATCTGTTTTGTAACTAACCGTAGATCTACTGTAGGAGTTCTAGCGGCATTTCCATATGTTCTAGACCTTTTATCAAAGTTGGATACTACATCCGGTCAAAAAATCGTCAAGAAATCTAGGAAGATTACTAGCGTCAAACGATTTGAAGCCGCTACGGTTGTCCGTAAATCTTCTACGAAAGAGAGGATTCTTGTTTGTAGTCTCCCATGTGCAAGAAATCACGATTGTTCATCAATACGAATACAGTTGTTCGTACATGACTCTTCAGTTCTTTTTGTGAAAATGTTTTCAAATCACTTTCTAAGTTAGGGAACAGAGAAATCCACTGAAGCCAATCAGATAGGATGCATCCTCTCCTTAGACAAGCACATTCCCTTTGCCTGTTTACTTCTCTAGAAATAGATGCTCTTTTCTGCGCACTTATTGAAAAGGACTGTTATAATATTCATGTATTCAGCAAGAACATTTTTGAGAAGAAGAAAAAGACGAACTGACTGAACACGTTTAATCAGGAAGTTCTTTAATTGCATTATCTAATGTTTTAAATGAACATCGATGACTAAATAAAATTTGACGAAATATTCCACGTTGTAATAATATTTTGAAGTCACTATAAGAGATAATAGAATAGAAACTACGGCGCAGTGTATATCGTGGTTCCTTATAAACATCATCATCATCATCATCTGTATTTTTTCGAACAACAGATAATAAGTCTTTAATTTTTGCAATACCAATTTTATTAGTGTTTGGGTCAGTTCGTAGAATAATAAATGCATCAAACACATCTTGATCAGTCGGATCAATGGTAATCAATGTTCGTAACACTGTTAAGAAATTATTCCATGTCAGATTACGGTCAACAATTCCAAGAGCTTTATAATCATTTTCAGTCATTTTCAAATCGTTTATTTGAATTACAAATTCGTTACTGTCTAAAATAGAACAACATTTTAGATTACTCTCATAAATCGTTTCACATGATTGCAAAGGACCAGTTGAGAAAGATCTACTGTTGTACCGAACAAAGGATGCGGATGGGTA